CCGTTCTGAAACCAGAACGACTCGTTCTGTTTTCAGAACAGCCCATTCTGCTACACTGGTGGTGTGTTAATTTTCGCATCTGGAATGGCCCGTTTCAGTTGCAAAATTAACACACGAAGAGTACAACCAGAACGGTCCGTTCTGATTTCAGAATGGCCCGTTCTGATTTCAGAACGGGCCGTTCTGGGTCCAGGTGTTTTCAAAAAAATTGTCATGCACGTGACATCCACGTATGCATCTATGTGACATCCACGTGCCCAAAAGTTAACTCCGTTTAAATAATGTGGATGGAAGTTCTACATTGAAACCAATTAATTAATTTAGAACTAAATTGAAATCAATTAATTAATTTGGGACCAAATTGAGATCAAAAATAAAAGTAAAACTACATTAAAACAAAAAAAAAATTATAAGGGACTAAAATAGGGTTTTAGCCTTTCTTCTAAATACTAATACATGGTTACAAGAAAAAAAAAGTGTCTGGATTTTATCTAAAATAAAATGGTGCAGAAAATTAGCATTTCTCAAAATATTTTGCCTAATTGTGGAGAGAATTGGGCGGTGGGTAGTGGAGTCCATTGTACTGGAACACAGCAAGCTATGGCTGTCCTCGTTAATTCTCCCCTGCCACAACCATGCACTCAGGTTCCTTATTCCTCCTCTATCTCACTTCTTCATTTTCCCCTCTCATTACTAACTAATTTAATTCACAGTGCTTGAAATCGAAGCAAGAAGTTAGGTTATTGTCACGTGGGCCAACCATTGGAGGAACCACCAGAAGCATGAGGGGTTTTAATTCCCATGGAACTCTGAAAAGGAATGGAAATGGGGTTAAAGCGTTTTTCTTTAATCCTGCACAAGACCCCATCGTCAAAGAAGCCCTCAAGGTATGTCTCTTCTGTTCTTCTCACCATATACCCTTATCAATCAAACTATGCTTACATTCTACTATCTTATCTCTTGGTGAATGGCCAACTGGTAGCTTGCATACTTGGGAAACTAGATTACTACGTGCTCTCGGGCTCTAAGAGAGGGGGAGGGGAAGTAAAAAATCCATTGATATTTTGAGTGTTTGTGGTTGATCGGTGGGACTATAAGGTATGATTATGAAAGAAAAAAAAATAGTATGTTGTTCCAGATAGTTGTGTCATTTGAGCTTTGTTGCCAACTTCAGAAGTCAGGTTAAGCTTGATTATTGTCCATTGTCAGAGCACTTTTACCACTGATTCATGAACACTTGAGTAGTTATCAAAATATAAAGTTGGTGGTGGGAGTTATTTGAGAAGTTCCGAACAAGTTTACACCAATCTACTAAAAATATGACATTCAATTATCTGTTAAATAAGTTTCTCTATACTACTACTACTACATGTGGTGGTGATTAAATTTGATTAAAATATCTTGATATCAGAAGGAAGTTATCAACAATTGTTTCTCCATCTTATAGTATCAAGAGTATCCTGTTTCCTGATTTGTAATCGTGTAACCACTGAATGTGATGCAAAAACATTTTTGTTTTTGGTTTTGGTGGATAATTGAGATCGACATTGCTAATTTGATTTGATCACGAGCATCTGGATATTTAAATATAAGTCAAGCATACTGATAGGTACAGGTTAGTTGAGGGCCTTAGAAATTGTTAGATTCAGTTAGTTTGTTAGGGGGGTTGGATAATAAGAAATAAGGCATATTGCCTATAAATTGGAGGAAGGTTTGAGAGATTTCCAGATTGGGGTATCTTGTTAATTGAATAGAGTAAAGGCCTTTGGGCATTGGGAGGTGCAGACTCTCAAAGTTCTGGGATCATATGGTAATCGGGGGAATTTCCCCATTTCCTCAATAAATCTGACCCAGTTTCTATCACATACATAGATAAACCACCGGAGAAAAACTATGCAGAAGTCATAACACATACAGAATGATAACTTTTTTTAGAAAAAAAAAATTTATTTATTTGATTTGTCTATTTTGTTCATCAGTGGAAATGCTTGTTTGACTTTTCCCTGTTAATTACCTTTATCTTTTATCAATGCTTACGATCTCTAAACGTAGTTCTTATATATATATATATATTTTTTTAACATATGTCCACAAGTAGAGGGCAAAGGCTTTTCAGTGCTCAATTTTTGCTTTGTTTTTTTTTAATAATTACTCACGTATGAACTAGCTTTGTTATGTTAGTTATTTGTAGTATTGCATATGCATGTCATGCCAGCATCAACTTGTCTCCCGTGCTTGAGCAAATTTTATGACGGAGCTGAAATGCAATTTATTGAGAAATCAATGAGTTCCTACTCAGTTCCTGTGTAAACATTCTAGTGATTTTTACTGTTTTTATAAAAGAAAAACATAAATAGGAAAAAAATGGTTTTGTGTTGCTAACTTTGTTAAAAGCTTTCCACCAATATTCTCAACTTGATTGTTAGCCAAGCTAGTTTCTCTTGACTCCCGAGAAATATTTAATTGACTTTTGTCATAATACTATAGGCTGAAAAAGCATTAGCATTCTGTTCTGCCCACAAGGATGATCATTGTGTGGCATTGAAAATTTGACATGTTTATCTCAACTTTTGTCATTGCTATAACTGCAGGAACCAGTGGCATTCTTTGGTGGAATGTTTGCGGGTATTTTAAGGCTTGATTTGAACGAGGAGCCTCTCAAGGAATGGGTTACTAGGACTGTGGAAGGTGCAGGTATTACCGAAGAAGAAACCAATACAGAAGAGTCAGCAAATGAGGCAGCTCCACAAGAGATTCAGATTGAATAACAATTGCAATTGATTTATCTGCATACATGTTTTAAGAAACTAGCATAGGATTAGCTTGCTGACAGAGCAATAAAAATTGGTTCAATTGGTTATGAATTATAATTTTTGGACTACATATGCGAAATGAAGAACTTCGTTCCTATCTATGCTGAAGGTGTATTTTATAACAAAGAATTCTGTATACGAGATCGCCATGCTAAAGTGTTAGTGATATACACAAATACGGAAGTCAGAAGTGACCCTAGTTGAAGGCAATTATGGTCTACACAATAAATTCAAATTCAAGTGTAGTGTAATAGTTGTGTTGAATAAGTTTTTATGTAATCAATATAATTCCTAACCAAGACGGACATGTTACAACCTTCCTCCCTAGATTCGTAGTGGTATACACTCTTTGTCTAGTTTCAAGGAACATCCTAAGACCCAATTAAAGTTAGAAAAAAAAAAAAAAAACTGTTCGTTTAAGATTTTTTCAAGACCTAATAGTATTTTCCCATCTACCATAATGTCTTTTTGTAAAGTGTGAAAAGTAGCCTTAATGGGCAAGTAAGGTTTCCTTGATTGCCAAGCAAGTCCGAAGAATGTCAATACGTCTATCTCCTTATTTTGTGGCAAGAATTACCGTTACCTGCCATGCATTTTACTGTCGAAATGATGTTGCTTGGTACTTAACGCATTGGTGTACATCATCGCGCAAGAGTAATGTGGCAAAATCAGTAATGTCCAACAGTTCTAGTAAGACTAGTCATACAATTAAGTAATAGAACTATAAACACGTGAGGTGTGTACATGTAGCATTGTTCTTACAGCTTAATGCTGACGCGTCAGTCACACCTACAGGCTACATCTTTTTACAGGTGTCCCGGCCACAATGAAAGAAAATGTAAAAAAGAAACTCTTGTTTCTGACGCAACGCAATACAACAAAGTGTCAATATTTAGATGAACTACCACTTATCTATTTCTGTAATTTGCATGCCGTTTGTAGGTGAGGAAGGTAACCACACTACAGTACCTTTTAATAGACCAATCAATTCATCTTCCAATTATATTATCATATTTTGAAGTCAAATAAGGAAAGTGTGTATATAGCATCGACAGCACAAGCATTATAAGCCAAAGTTCCTCTCACCCAATGTCCCCGTAACCAAATAGTGTTTGTCATCACAAAATTTGAGAGAGAAGAGCACTCAGCAAATTGATTTGTATTCATGGCAGATCATCAGAGACAAAGGATCCACCCTATGGTGGGGGAAGCACCACCACCCCCAACAACCCCATTGGTACCTCCAGGCTCTTCAAGATCAGAAAAGGGTCTCCCTTTACACCATCCTCCACCACTACGTGCCATGCCAGCAGCATACCCTACACCAAAAAAAGGAAGCTGCTTCTGCAAGTGCATATGTTGGACAATAAGCTTACTTATTCTCCTCCTCATTATCTTGGCTGCAAGTGTTGGAATCCTCTACCTAGTCTTCAAACCAAAGCTTCCCGATTACTCAGTTGACACCCTGAGGATAAGTGATCTGAGTCTTAACTTTGACATGAGTCTGTACGCAAAGTTTGATGTGAAGATCACTGCAAACAACCCAAACAAGAAGATTGGCATCTACTATGAAAAGGGTGGAAGGTTGAGTGTGTGGTACACAAGCACAAGGCTTTGTGAAGGGTCACTGCCACAGTTCTACCAAGGTCATCAGAACAAAACTGTCCTCAATGTGTCCTTGACTGGTCAAGTGCAATCTGGAAGCACCTTGATGACAGCACTGCAGCAGCAACAGCAGACAGGACGCGTTCCGTTGGATCTGAAGGTGCATGCACCAGTTGCCATCAAACTTGGGAGGTTGAAGCTGAGGAAGGTGAGAGTCTTGGGAGAGTGCATGTTGGTGGTGGATAGCTTATCATCCAATAATCTCGTAAGCATCAAGGCTAGCAACTGCAAATTCAGAATGAAACTTTGATTTCCATGATGGGAGAGTTTGTCTTAGTTCATGTCATTTGTTTTTATTCCTTGGTTTTTTGGACTGAAGACTTTATTCTTTTATGAATATCTTTTTTGGATTCCCATTTTTCTCTAATTTCTTTTTATCACAATGTATCATCTATCACTTCTATACTTCTTTCTTATTATTTCTGTCTCTAGATATCAATTAGCATATGGTGATATTTTGCAGCAGTTCCATACAATTTTTGTTATCTTTTATTTTTATCTTTCATGATTTTGACAGTAGATCCGATTGCTTGATTGAGTGAAAAAACTTTTCAAGATTTGTTGTCAAGATTGTGTGACTAATCACCGATTTATGTTGAATAAAGAAATTGAAACGGCATATATTTAGTCAAACTTCTCCAAATGAGAGGGATTGAATTCAAGAAAGAGAAAAGGAGGGCACAAGAAAACATGACTAAATCCTAGAGTTTGAATTGTTGTGATACAAAATACTGACATATATAACACCTCTCGATCCATTAATATACCATAGCATATCTTTTAACGCTGATGAATCTTGTCAAGTAAACATTTTTCTAATGAATTTCTAGATTGAATTTTAGATCAAAAGCCTTACTCACTTTCGGTGTACACAGAAAATGAACATGAAATGGAGGTTGTAAAAGAACTAGAAGCATAAAAAGAACTTTGGTTGGAACTTGGAAGTGATCGTTTTATAAAACACGCTTCGCAGCAGTTTAGTGTGACTTTGAGAAACCTAATATATGTCTTTGCTTTGACAAAATTTGAATGGTATGAAATAGAAGGTAGCTATATGACCTGCAGGCTGCAGCGTCTATCATCAACCTTCCTTACTTACATCAATTCAATTCTTTCTTTTGCTCATTCCTTCTTAAAATATAACGAATGTCTTTTTTAATTTATTATACTTTTTTTTTGCGTTATTTTAATTTTTTTATATTAAAAACAATTTAAATGTGGTTATTATCTCTGAAAATGAGATATTTTAATAGTAATAGATCTTTAACATTTTTTTTTTATAAAATATTTGTAGTCGATAATAAGTACAAAAGTTATTTACTTTTACTTCTAAAAACACTGACAAATAGCAAAAACATATATTTTTTAGTTTAACACGAGACTAAAATAAAAATAAAAAACAATGCCAAAAATAAAGTTAATTAAATTATAAGCTAATTATAATATTTCTATTTAATAATTACAAAATATATAAAATGACAAATTACATTAAAATTTTGCACAATAAACAAAGAAAATAAAGATAAGCAACCTTTTTTTATTCCATCATCTAATTTAATCATAAAATATTATATAATATATATATATATATTACACCAAAAAAATATTTAATTAAATATTATGTGGTATTATATATATTTAGACACATTATTTTAGTAAATATAATAAAAATATAAAAGTTTATATATATATATATATATATATATATATGAAGAAGAA